CACCGTTTAAGGTCCGTGCTTTTTTGAGGGCACCTTTTGTAAGGTTGGCTTCATGGGAAGCCAAAGGGAGAACCGACAGTTTGGGCTGGTACCCCACTTTTGACACACACACACACACACACACCGTGTAAGGTGTCAGGAATAAATACGACAATAAATTCTGGACGTGGCCCTTCAAAAGCAGCAGGGGATTCAAAGATCATCCAATTTAAATGGAAGTTCTGATCTTGAGGCAACGGCACCTTGCCCGTGCCGTTGAAATCATACTCCGCAAAGATCTGCTGGATGCTGCCTCAGCGCACGCAACCAACCGAAACTACACTGTTAGCCTACGGCTGTGAGAGGATGGCATGTGACGGCATGTATGGCAATCAAAGCCATCACCAGCGATAGGACCCTGTTGAACATCACTTGCATTTGAGATGCATGGCCATGAGCCAGTTTGCAAAGTGCTCCCTATTGATGTTCATAGCCATGTGCCAGATTGGGGACCGATGCAAGGTTGAAAAAAAGTCGTGCGATTGGACTTGGCCTTGAAAGGCACGCATTTTTTTGGCTGCTTCCACTTTCAGTTGCCATCAGGACGTCAAGCACACTACTCTAAGTCCGCCCCAGAATCCGCCTGCGACTGCCTGTGGAAGAACGACACTGCCAGTTGAAGTTGGTGAAACCATTGGGTCCTCCACTTCCATGCACAAAACCCCCCTGCAGTTGGGATGGACGAGCCTCTATGAACACCGAATTGAATGAACACTCTTGAAAAGCCCGGGGCCCAGCCACTGACTGCAGAATTCCGTCCGCTTCCAGAATTCTGTTCGTTGGGCACGCGGCACGCCCTGCGCCTAAGGGACGCCCCAGCCTTCCGAGCCGCTGATCTGGCCGTGGTATTCGTCGGCGCCGGTCTTCGGCCCCTCGCTCATGGCGCCCGGCTCCGCTGGAGGGCCGGCTGCCAAGATGTCTCTGAAGCCAACAGCCAGGGTCGGAAACCAGCGGAGCGAAAGGAAGGCAAAGCAATTGGCGCACACACACACAGACACACACGCACACACGCACATAGCATTTGGATTGCATCCTTCCCTTAGCCTAGCCACAAAGGCAAGGTTGCCATAGATTTTGTGCCTGGGCGCGACAAATTGCCGCTTGATGAGCAAGGCTCGGGCAGAATGAAGCAGAATCAAGTCGATTCTCTATTTCGTTGGGGTGCATGCCCAACCTCTATTGATGAATGACCCCAATTAATAAAAAAAAATGGAAATCCGGGGCCCGGGACCAGATTTCCACTCCGCACAATTGATTTTCCATTGCGCCAATACTAAACCAATACTAAAGTCTTGGAATCCTTATTAGGGGGCCCTCAAAAGAAAACATGTCCCCAATGGCTGTCTGTCTCTCGCATGTGCTGGCTACCTGACCTGCCTGGCTGCACCCCAAAATATTTTTTTAATTGGGTCCTTTATTGGGGTGGTGTCCCTCAAAAGAAAACATGTCCCCAAAAGCTGTCTAGCTGCGACTGTCTCTCTCCCGTACATGCTGGCTAATTAATTAACCTGGCTGCAAACAAACAACCAGTAAACTGAAAAACAAATAGAATGATACGTAAAATTTCCTTATTAAACCGCTTACTCGCGCACCTTACAATTCAATCCATTTCCTCCAAATCCTATGTGAACCCTCACATTGTTGGAAAAGCAAAAACAACAATTCCGAAAACCACATTTTCTTAAAAAATGAGGAGGATTGTTTAATAATGGAGGGGGGGGCCGTATTATTCATAGGGGGAAGAGATTAGAAGAAACCAGAAGCACTGGAGCTTTTGCACAATCCGAAAGTTTTCAGGGAAACCTAGGCACCCTTTTGGGGTGAGGCTTTCAAGGAAAGCGAATAGCAACCAAGTACAAGAGATATACAGAGAAAGATGCAACTCATCAGTCGAGTCCTGAACTGTGCCAACAAGTGCTGTTCACCGTGCTGTTCATGTAGCAGACAAGCCTATGTAATTGCTTATCGCAATTCCTAGACCATTTCTGAACAAAGGACGCAAGGTCACCAATCGGCTTGACCAGGTTTGGGCGTGCCAAACGAACCAACCACAAAGCCTTCATCAGCACGCGGCAAGCGGCGAAGCCGAGCTCACCCTCCAAGGCGTCATCTGCGGGGTCTAGAGATCCAGCGGGACAGAATGGAGTGGCGGCATCACAGTTTTAGCTGTGCAACCTCAAGATATAACGCAACCGTTTGACGAGCATAATCTCGCATGTCGAACGCCATGCCCCCTTTCAATCTGCCCATTGCGGCATTAAGATCGGGTTCAGTTGGGTCCTTCGGAGCATCTATCAAAAGGTGATTCCTGCCTAGCACCCGATATATGTCTTCTGGGGGTTCTATGTCTACCAGTCTTGTTAATTTTCCCAGAAGTCTTTATGAAGGTGGCTGGGGCCGGCCAACGTCAAGTCGTCGACGTATGTCGGGAGGACTCCTTGAACCAGAAGTTTCCGGGAAACTCTGGGACTTCACGCCCTCCAAGTTCACTAATGAAACCTTTGGGGTGTGCCTCCCAGAGTCCGCCAGCGTCAGGATGCCCATAAAGAGCTTTAACGAGCAAAACCACAAGTTTTACAAAACGCTCGCGCCACCACCTCGGCCGGAGCTCAGGCGGGAGTGTGATCCAAGTTTGGTACTTGGACTTCAGCAGTGCTTGTACGTAAGCCTTTATAGCGTCCGCTGTTGTGGTGGAGTTCCTGGCAGGGATCCATAAGCGAGACAGTTATTAAGACCTTGTACGCTCGTGGGATTTGCTCCCAGTTCTTGGTCTACAGCCGCTGCACCATGTTCGTCTTTCGCACAGTCTCCGCGATACACCATCCTACCTTTCATCTTTTGAAGGTGTTTCGCGAGTTCGGCGAACTTGACGGATGCTAGCGACATCAGCTGTCCGAAGTGAACTTTTACACTGGATCGTCGCGCCTCAGCAGCGACTTGACCGTATTCTCGGTCTGAATTAAGATCCCAAACACCGGCTTTTTCAAGACCTGTGGCTTCAAGTCGAACGGCTTCAAGGGCTTCCGGGAGGCCAACATTTCGGCACGTGACAAGAGTCTGGTCACCATTGCGGTGATTTCAGGATCCTTCTCCTCCTTAACTTGTCCTAGAAAATGTGTGATGAGATTTTCAACATCAAGAACTTGTTCGAGGATGTCGTGACACTTTTCACCGGGCTCAACAGCGATGCCTATATCTTCCAAACCAGAGAGAGGGGATATGTGCTTTAACTGCTGCTCACGCTCCCTGCGGTCGAGGGGCAATGGCACTTGAACAGGCATCGCAGGCACAACGGGTCCTACTGTCGGATACAGCGCACGGGCAACTGTGAGACACATGCCTTCGGGATAGAAAGCGGTCTTTGCGGTTTTGTTACCTGCTGCAAGCGAGTGATTAAACCCTTTTTCATGCGGGCACTTGAATGCACTTAGTGCGGATGCGAGCGTGCTATTCCTAGTCATCACTTTCCATGGCTTTTTGATGGGGCAACCGTTGCTGTCCTTTAGACCTAGGGCACAACCATGGAAGGTCGCTGGGGTGAAGACCTGTGCGTATTCCCTGAAGAATGCAGCAACATCATCCCTAGCCCAACTGTCGCAATCCCTTGGCCATTCGAACGAAACACTACCCCCCTGATGGAGGACAGTCTCAGCGTGACGTCTGAATCTGGAGAACAACTCTCTCGACTCTCTAACCTTTTGCTTCAATTTCTTTTTGAATTGGCTTCCTAACTTGGCCTTGTTAAGGCGTTGCCATGCTGATCCGGATGTGCAGGGAATTGCGGTCCACAGATTGGGCTTCTCACAAACTTCTATCTGTGACTGCAATTGGATCTCTCCTTCATCGGTGCTAAGGTCGATGTACTCTTTAGCCAGCCTAACATGTGGTATGCCTAGACCTTCAAACACGCGACCCATATTGGACTCTGGTGAACATGCGTATTCAATCATCACGGGTAACTTATCCATGCGTGCCTGACGTTTGCGGGCACGATGATTTCCTACCACAAATTGCTTGGGCGGCGGAGTTTCAACCTCTGCTCTGCACGGCATGCCAAAAACTGGCAACGTATCTGGACGACCGTTCTTTGACGCTTCGGTGAGAGGTGTCGGCGGGACGGACTCTAACATCACGGCTGCACCTGTGGTGATAACGCAATCGGACTGAATGGGTTTTAACTTGAACACTGTGAGCCCGGTCCATGAATCCCCAAGTGAGCGATTCGGTCGGCTACCAAACCAACCGTCGTGGATGTTGTCTGCTTTGCCCCCCTGAAACACGGCACGAGTGGTGCGAGCTGCAGTGAACCTTTCTGGGGAAACGGGGCAATCATCGACCTCCTTTGGGGTAAAAAGATTCTGCCTTGGCATGATATGGTACCTAACCAAACAGTTGGATTTTTTTGAACACCCAAAAATCTTCACCTTGCGATGTAGCGGAAGTCGCTGGCGCGGAATCGAAGAATGAGGCACCGGGTCTTGAGGGAGCTGGCTCCCCGGCTTCGGCTGCGTCAAATTCATGCGCTACGTCTTCTGCACTAACTGCGATCTTAGGATCTTTATCATGCTCGGATGCGTGGATTGCTCGCGGCCCCTTGCCACCGCGGTGAGGGCCGACTTCCATGTGCGACCAAACGGTCGCAGTCACAGAAGGGTTTGTTACCCGAAAAGCGTTACGGCTGATAACCACTCAAAGGAGAGGGAAACACAGTTTTCTCAACAACGGGGGAACCCGGGACCTTAAAAGGAACGAACCCCGCCGTGACTGCGACCTCTCCCTTAACCTTGTGGGCAGCGCGTGCAACGCGCACTTTTCCTTGAGCCAAATTGACATGTATTCATGTCTTGCTTCAACCTTGCAACATGAGTACCTAACTCATGAACCTCTGGGCCATAAATGTCATCGTGATAATTGACTCCCTCTCCCCTCTTCCTTTACCCCAATGTCCGCACGGCGCACGCCTGCAAGGCTCTCCAGGAACTTGGGGTGGCCGTAGGGGGACCCGTAGTTCAAAGTCTCCTCCGCGTAGGGTAGGCCTGGCCGGGAGAAGAGTCAAGAGCCACATGCTGGAAGATGGACGTGGCTCACTCGAGAAAATCCGCCAAAACAAAATCTACAAATTCCTGGCTTGCCGCTGAAACTGTTTTCCCAAACCAAATGAAGTCCATGAACTCAGGGAATGAGGTGGGTTGATGATGAGAAGGTTGGGAACCGTACGGAAAGCTGTGAAAGCTCGAGGACTGATTAGGTTTCAAGCTGTTTCGAGCGCAGTTCAGCTCCAATCTCCGTTGCGAAAGCTGAGTTCTGCGATGCTATTCGGAAAATGCACGCGCATTTTGGCCTAGGGGGCCCTGTCGAAAACCTGTCTCGTGGCCTGCGTGGCAGGCAAGGAAATCAACATCGAACGAACGAACCAACGTCGCAATACACTTCACGCAACGAACCAAGCTGGCAACGCTCAGGTGGCGGCAACTGCGCCAAAAGCTTTTGGCCACAAGTATACAAACCCCAGACTTGGCCTCGCGCCGAGGCCAAGTTGCGCGCCTTGCTGGAAGCTCTCCGCCAGCATCTTTGGCAGTTGGCCCCCCAGCAGCGAGGGGTGGGGCCAGCCCCGTGCGAAGTCCGGCACCTGACTTCGGGGCTTTGAGCCTGGATGACCTCCAGGGGTCCCTGACAAAGCAGCAAACAAAAACCAAATGGGCACCATTTCATCTTTCAAGAGAAGATGCGATTGTAAGGATTCCACATGCTGGGATCAGCAACAAAAGCAGTGCGCCTGTGGCTCCCTGAGTCTGAGCCCGCCTGCGCCATTCCGCGCCTGGCCGCGCCTGAAGACCCAAGCGAGCGCTTGACGCTGGGGACCTCCGTTGCTGATTGCACCTGGTCGAACAACCTTCCCGCCCAATTTTCTCTGATCTCCCCCCTACCCCACGCCCAAAGGCCCAAAATAAAAAAAGCCCCGCCTCGCAACTCCGGCACTCCGCCACCGGAGCGCAGCAAGTGCAGGCCGCGCAGGGCGCGCATGGCCCCTAATCCGCCCGGACGCAGGAAGCCAAGTGGCCAAGGCGTCGCCGGCTTCCTGTCCCCAGCCGTCGGATTTCCGTTCCGCGGGCCGCCTGTGGCTTCGTTTGGCCAAGGGGCCTTTGGCTTTGGACTGACGATGAACCTGGTCCCCACTTCAAGTGCTCTCATTGAAGCATTGTGACGGAAACAAAAGGTGGAAGCATTGAATTCGCGGCTCGGGGTTCAGAATCGGAAGTTGCTTTGCTCCATCTGAATCACAAATCCAAGTAGCCATGTCCAAAGAAAGGCTTTCGCGTGTCCAAACCTCCAAATGGCACTGCTCTTAGTCGACCGCACAGGGATCCACCTTATGCCCCTTTCGGAAATTCCAACCCTCAAGACAAATGTGTTTCCTGCGCTCATGTTGTAAGACGCCTGGGAGGATCATCCGCAATCGTTCTTCAAGAGCAGCAGATCATATGGGTCATGCTGGGTCATTTAACACCCAGATGTAGATTTGACCTGCGCCCCATTGATAGCCCTTAGCTCATTCCGCACTTTGGCCCTCGGCTGCTTTGAACCGGCCGCTGCGCGCTTCGCACGCCAGCGCGCAAGCGCTGGTCACCTAGAGGCCGGCGCATGTCCGCAAGAAAAAGGGCGAGCGACCAACTGCTTGCCCTCTTGAAGATTCTCGACTTCGGATAAATCAGAATATGTTTTCTTTGGAGTGCTCTGACGAATATCTCATTGGAAACCCAACAGCATCAATTGTAGAGACAGCCCCATTTGGAGGACCCCGTCTTTTGGTCCCGCGTTAATGCCCAAGAGGAGTCAACATGTTGCAGCGAGTGTTGCTCATGCATCCTGATTTCGGGTTTTTCGGCATTTCGGCATTTCAGACATGTGTAAGCTACCCTTTTCCATGAATCATGGTGGACAAGGATGGTCTTGCAAGTTGGATGAAGCGTAGCCACCTGAAGCACCAAATCAGGTGTGGCTTCTCTTTTTTCAAGGGGGGGCGTAAGCCAACCAATTTCAGGGCACCAAACCTCTTTTCAGGCCCCTTCCTAGAAATGCTCTCCAACTGCGAACCGATAAGACTATGCGAGCTGCAAAGGCTCAGAACCCAGGAAATCAACTACCCACTTTAGAACACCAAGACAACTCTTGAAAGGCAACTGGATAAGTAGTCTCTCAAACTTCAGATATCCACGTCAGGGGACCCATGACGCCTCGAAAGCCCAGGCGCCAGTCCAAAGCCCAGCGCCCCGTCGCCCTCCGCCGCGCCCGCGCTCGAGCCCTCCGCGGCGTCGGCCGCGAGGGCGCCGCTCGCCCGGCGCCAAAAACCGCGCCGCGCCGCGGGGCCCAGGGCGGCGTTGCGCAGCGCCCCATCCGGCGCCAGGCGCCTCAGGCCGCTTCGCCTGTTGTTTGGGTGGGTCGCTCTGCTTTAGTTGGGCCTTATGTTTCGTGGCTGGGTAAAGAAAATCCGTTCGGGTGGGTCTTATGTTTCGTGTGCACGCAGTGCACGCAACATGCCGGTGCACCATTCCTGGTGGTACTAGAACGGAAAACCCAAGGGAAAACCCCAACTTGGGGAAGTGTTTCCAACAGGTCTTTTGGGTGATTCGGTCCAAAGACCAAGTGGGCTGCACCAAAAACCACAGCTCATGGACGAAGAGCCCATGTTCCCATAGACGAAAAGGCTTTTCTCCACCCTCGCAACAGAGAAGCAAAAAGCTGGGAACCTTAGAATCACCCACCAATTTTCCCCTGCAAGCATGTTGAATTTCATACAAAGGGAATGGCAGAATCTGGGCGGACCCCTGAGCCACGCCTGTCTGGCAAAGCCTCCAGAAGGCACAGTGAGAGGCGCCAAGCCAGGGCGTCCAGCAGGCTGGTGTAGGCGAACCTGGATGCTTCAAATCTGACCTGGAAGGGAACTAGAAGATTTTTGGCTAAGGACAAAAAGAATGGCGAAGGCGGGTTCAATTCGTTTTCTGCAAGGCAGATTCTTTGCGGGTACGTGTGCCGCACATAAGCGGACATAGGTACGACTCGGCATGGATCAGCTTTGAGGTTGACCAAAACCGGGCTCTCCAAGAGAGATTGCGGCAAAGAGGATGGCTGCTGACTCAATCAAACAAATCCCTCTCCAACTATGACTGTGCGGTCCCACCGAACTGTGCCCCCCAAACATGTTGGGCCGCGCCGCCTTTCTCCATCCTGGCCGAGGCGCAGATCGATCTCCAGATCGAAGGCCAGCGCCTCCCGCCAGCGCCCTGTTTGGGTTTTTCGCCACGCGGTGCGGCAACTGTCTGCAACATTCGCACGCCTCGTGTTCTGTCAGATTTTCTATGGATCCATGCGACTCAGACAGCTCACAGGCTCAATTCAAATATCACCTTTTTGGGGCGCCAAAAAAGGAGTAAACTTGACAAAACATGGGTCAAAAGGGGACACCGGCAAAACCAAAAGATCACAAGCTCGGAGCCGGGCAACTCAGGTTCGAACTCGGCAAGCAGCTTGGCGTCCGAATGGGTTCTGTCCACTACCCCAATTCTTTGCAGGGCTACAGTGCCATGTTTGCTTCTTGGCAGATCCCTCTTGGAACAGTCACTTGATAGAGGGGCATCTGCCCACATGCCCCCACCCCTTACATATCCCCAACACACAGGACCTGTTGCATCATCTGCCGACAAAAGTCCTGCCAGTTTGCGATTCAAGATCTCCTGTCATGTAAGTTTGCGCGCGCGGGGATTCAAAGTCGATTCAAAGCCACCAGCTTGAAGAGAGCATTCTCTCGAGCCTCGTTTTGTTTTTCCTCCACCCGCCCAGGTATCTCACAAGATTTGTCCTCTAAACCGATAGATCCTCCCAGGCGGAAGCTTGACTCACCTCCCATGGCCAAGATCCACGGAAGCAAGCGAGCGAGAGAAATGGGATTTTCAGACTTGGACTCCCAAAGCCGCCTAGTGAATCTAAGACATCCATGTCTAACGCCTCTCGCTCGAAGGCACCCTTTGCTCTGCAAGGGAAACAGTCGAATTGGCAAAACTGAAGGGGTCTGTGGCTTAGGCGGACAAGTCGTATAGCCTACCGTTCTGTGGTCTAAGTGTTGAAAAGGAATATGAGCGCGGGTTGCCAGTCAAAAAACGGCCCGCCCCGGCAATGGGCTCGCCTGCGGCGCAGAGATTCCGGGTCGAACCTCTCTTCGCCAGGCTGCGCTGCCAGGGGCCTCCGCCCTGACTCGAAGCGCGGAGCTCTGAGAAACGCGCCAGGACCGGACCCCTTGCGAATGTTCCCTGGTGCATTTTGTTGTGGTGAGGTTCGGAGCTTACCCTCTACAAGAACCAGGGGTTCAAGTCCGAATCCAAACCACAGAAGACGGATTAACCATTTTCCCTTTGAAACCAGAAGAAGCAAAACGAATCACCTTCCATAGCCCCCACCAACCCAGCAAAGGTTCTGAGAAACGCCAGTGAAGCAGCATCGAACTGGCAATCTAAGAACATAGCAAAAAGCAGGCGTCCGCAAAAACATGCAACGGCTGTAGGGACATCAGTCCTTCGAGGACTGCTTTGGCGACTGCAAACAAATTCTCATCTGGCATGCGGATCTTGCAGAACCCAGCTCCGTGGTCAAGTTTCAACACCTCTTTGGAAACATGTGGAAACCAAATTGATCTTTTGGGAGAACTGAAACTCTCATACATATGCAAACTTAAGACCAAACGGAATCGAACATGAAAATCGCCGGACTCCAAACGGTTCATTCAGCGGGGGCCCCGGAAAACGCCGCGCCGCGCGTGCCGCAGCGCCTCCGCCGCAGCCTGCCAGCGGCCTTTGGGAAGCGCCTCTGCTGCCAAAACTTGCAGCACCCGGTCCGCCTGGAGACGGGCCTGCGCGGGCCCCGTGTCGGGGTCGGATTCCCGGCTTGGAAGGAGCGCTAACCACAAAGCGGCGGCTCGCCTCTGTGGGTCAAATTTCTTGGCGAACAAATAGCGCAGAACTCGCCACCCTTCGGAAGAGGTACCTATCCACTTTGAGGCAACCCCATGCAGCAAGTGTGTGCAGAGACTGGCCTTTTGTGAAGATCATTTCGTTCCGATCAGGCAAACTGGTCTGGTGTCTGTCTTGCAAGGGTGACGTGCCTTTGGCACGTAAACACACCAGTCCCTATGTACCGAGCCTCACTCCCTGTCGCACGATGTCTGCGCTTTTTGGCAGGCACCGAACCAGCAAGCAACAACCGCAGCAACCAGCAGCATAATGCCAGCGGGTAGAATCACAGCGCCGGCAATGGTAAGAGCCTCTGCAGCTGCTTTTGCCTCTCTGATTTCTTGCGCAGGATCAAAAATCTTCATGCACACCTCGCCTTCATAGACACATCGGTAAGACTCTGATACCTGCGAGGTCGTTCGCCAGCATGGTACATCCTGTTGGACAGAAAAGCTGCCTGGAATCTGGGCCGAGACATCACATGTCGAGCCGCTCCGCAGGCTCTCTTCTCGTGACCAGTAGCTGGCGCTGTTGTATTCGAATCGGTATTGGTAGATGTCGAAGCAGACAGTGCCTTTCTCTTGCCCTTGCTTTTCTTGACGCTCCTCCCGGCTGTGTTGCACCTCTAAGACTTTGCAGGTACCAACGTTGGTGAAATCTGATGCTGGATCTGCCTCGGACACCTTGCCCTGATCGATCAGCCCGAGAGACAGAAGGAAACCCAAGCAATGACACACTTCGGCGGGCCGCACATGTCAAGCCCGGCAATTCACAAGACAAACCTCTCTGAGGTCCTTGAGCCGAAAGAGGGGGCTGCCAAAGGGGCTGTCTAAGAGGCCTGCTTTCCATTCGTGCATCTGGCATGGAAACAAACTGTGAGCCCCTGTCAGCCGGTTCGCTCGCCATGGGCAAAGGCCACAAACGTCTCATGCCAGGTGCCTGAAACTACCCTTTGCCCACTTAGGAAACCTCAGTCACAGCTTTTGAAATTTTGGAAGCGAAACATTTCAGACAAATGGCGCAGAACTGGACGCCCTTCGGAAGAGGCACCTATCCACTTTGAGGCAACCCCATGCAGCAAGTGTGTGCGGAGACTGTGGCTTCAGGCCGCGCTTTTGTGAGTACCAATCTTGTCTCGCAAGGGCATGCCAAGGAACCCAAAGTGCTACGCATCACGTCGCCCGGCTACGATTTTCGGGAGGCACCGGAGCAGCGAGCAACAACCGCAGCCACCAGCAGCAGAATTCCAATGGGTAGAAGCACAGCGCCAGCAATGGTTCGAGCGTCTGCTCCTTCTTTTGCCTCTCCGACGTCCTCCGCGGGGTCCAAAATCGTCATGCACACCTCGCCTTTTCCGCCTGGGCATCCTTCCGGGTCGCAGCCTTGATAGATACATCGGTAAACCTCCGATACCTGTGAAGTCGTTCGCCAACATGGTACGTCCTGTTCGAGATAAAAGCTGCCGGGAAGAATTGCCCTGGCCTCACAGCCCACACCGACCTCAAAACGCTTCTCTCTTGACCAAAAGGTTGCATTATTGTATTCGAATCGGTAGTCGTAGATGTGGGTGCATACGGGGCCCTTGTCTTGTCCTTGCTTTCCTTGATGCTCCCCCTCTGTGTACTGCACTTCCAAGACTTTGCAGGTACCAACGTTGGTGAAATCTGAGGCCGGATCTGCCTCGGAAAACTTGCCTTGATCGACCAGCCCGAGAGATAGAAGGATGCATCCGCACACCAACGCCACGAAGCCTGCGAGTCCTTAGGCCAGCTGTCGTTCAGTTTGAACATTAAGATACCAATCACTTCCCCCCAAAAAAAAGTCCCCCTAATGGCGAAGACAGGCGGCCGTGGGCGGCGAAGACAGGCGGCCGTGGCTTTTTGGATTCTGTCTATGCCACGGGGGCGGCGAAGACAGGCGGCCGTGGCTTTTTGGATTCTGTCTGTGCCACGGGGGCGGAGACAGGCAGGGGTGGCGGAGACAGGCGGCTGTGGCGCTTTGGATTCTGTCTGTGCCACGGGGGTGGCGGAGACAGGCAGGGGTGGCGGAGACAGGCGGCTGGATTCTGTCTGTGCCACGGGGGCGGAGACAGGCAGGCGGAGACAGGCGGCTGGGCGGAGACAGGCATGTCTGTGCTGGCTTTGGATTCTGTCTGTGCCACGGGGGTGGCGGGCGGCTGACTGTCTGTGCCACGGGGGTGGCGGAGACAGGCGGCAGGCGGCTGTGGCGCTTTGGATTCTGTCTGTGCCACGGGGGTGGCGGAGAGACAGGCGGCTGTGGCGCTTTGGATTCTGTCTGTGCCACGGGGGTGGCGGAGACAGGCAGGGGTGGCGGAGACAGGCGGCTGTGGCGCTTTGGATTCTGTCTGTGCCACAGGGGTGGCGCAGACAGGCGGGGGTGGCGGAGACAGGCGGGGAGACAGGCGGCTGTGGCGCTTTGGATTCTGTCTGTGCCACGGGGGTGGCGCAGACAGGCGGGGGTGGCGGAGACAGGCGGCTGTGGCGCTTTGGATTCTGTCTGTGCCACGGGGGTGGCGGAGACAGGCAGGGGTGGCGGAGACAGGCGGCTGTGGCGCTTTGGATTCTGTCTGTGCCACGGGGGTGGCGCAGACAGGCGGGGGTGGCGGAGACAGGCGGGGGCGCTTTGGATTCTGTCTGTGCCACGGGGGTGGCGGAGACAGGCAGGGGTGGCGGAGACAGGCGGCTGTGGCGCTTTGGATTCTGTCTGTGCCACAGGGGTGGCGCAGACAGGCGGGGGTGGCGGAGACAGGCGGGGAGACAGGCGGCTGTGGCGCTTTGGATTCTGTCTGTGCCACGGGGGTGGCGCAGACAGGCGGGGGGCGGAGACAGGAGATTCTGTCTGTGCCACGGGGGTGGCGGAGACAGGCAGGGGTGGCGGAGACAGGCGGCTGTGGCGCTTTGGATTCTGTCTGTGCCACGGGGGTGGCGGAGACAGGCAGGGGTGGCGGAGACAGGCGGCTGGATTCTGTCTGTGCCACGGGGGTGGCGGAGACAGGCAGGGGTGGCGGAGACAGGCGGCTGTGGCGCTTTGGATTCTGTCTGTGCCACGGGGGTGGCGGAGACAGGCAGGGGTGGCGGAGACAGGCGGCTGTGGCGCTTTGGATTCTGTCTGTGCAGGCAGGGGTGGCGGAGACAGGCGGCTGTGGCGCTTTGGATTCTGTCTGTGCCACGGGGGTGGCGGAGACAGGCAGGGGTGGCGGAGACAGGCGGCTGTGGCGCTTTGGATTCTGTCTGTGCCACGGGGGTGGCGGAGACAGGCAGGGGTGGCGGAGACAGGCGGCTGTGGCGCTTTGGATTCTGTCTGTGCCACGTGGGTGGCGGAGACAGGCATTCTGACAGGCAGGGGCGGAGACAGGCGGCTGGGCGGGATTCTGTCTGTGTGGCGGAGACAGGCAGGGGTGGCGGAGACAGGCGGCTGTGGCGCTTTGGATTCTGTGTGTGCCACGGGGGTGGCGGAGACAGGCAGGGGTGGCGGAGACAGGCGGCTGTGGCGCTTTGGATTCTGTCTGTGCCACGGGGGTGGCGGAGACAGGCAGGGAAATTCAGGGCAAATTAAATTGACAGGGCAACGAAGAGAAAAGGGTGGAACAAAAAAGGACATGAAGGGGAAATGGAAGGGAAATGAGATGAAATGGACATGGTGGGAAACGGAGAGCAATGAGGAAAATGAAAAGAAAGAATGAGAAATGAGGGGAACTGAGCGGCACGTGTTGGGGACATGGGAGATGCAATGTCGGCGGGCTGGGCGGGGAGCTTATCTGGGGAGAGAGGAAGAAACCGGGGGCGCCCTAGTACAACATATGTTTCCCCACGTTTCGTTGCTTTTAACTTAGGCCTTATTATGGGGCAGGGATCTTTGCGCGTTCCGTTTCCCAAGGCAACTAATTTGCACAACACCCAAACAGGGAAAAAGGCAGCTCAGCTCATGCCGAGCCTCCAGAAATCCAAACGACACATCGCGGACCACACATATCATTCTTCCCAAATCACCCCTTTGAGGTCCTTGAGCCGAACTCAGAGGGCCAGAGACGATGGCTTCCACAGGCAACGTCTCATGCCCGCACTGGCATCGCGCTCACTTAGGAAACCGTCACAGCTTTTGGAATCAAAAAAGAAAGGAACCAAACTCGCAGCCCTTTCTGCGTACCACGGGAAACGAAGGGAGTGGGAAACCCACCTGCGGCAGCTCAGCGCAGATCTGCAGGGCGTGCTGCCAGGGAGGCTCCTGACACCGGGCCAGGAAACATGGATCGCTGTCAGAAAACATTGCTTTCTTCGGCTTGAGCCATGGTTGCCCTTTTGGGGCTGAAGGAAGTTCAAGGTGGAACGTAGGGGAGTATTTCACACGCAGCTCTTCCGCCAGGGAAACCCAACTCCGGTGAGAATTGCGACGCCGGGGGTTTGTGGATCAAAACTGGGGCCCACTGGGTAGCCGGGCTTCTGACTCGATTCGCGACGCGATCGCTACCGGTGTTGCGCCTCTGCGAGCTGTAACTGAGACAGCGTCACGGGATGCGGCCAAGTCAATGGGAATCCGGATCCGGCACGATGCTAATGTTGAGCCCTCTTGGGATCCATTGGGAACAACCGACTCCTTGGGAGCGCATCGAGTCCATATTCATTCATATGCAGCTGCCCCGCGGATCTTCCAAACAAGCCAGGGGTTTCCTTTGTGAGGAGCACACCACGATTGAAGTCGTTTGGGCGTGCGGCTACCCACTGTCCGGTCTCGTGGCGCTTTCTTTATCTCTCTTGGCGGGAAAGCCCGAGTCGAGCCTTCTGCAAGCCGGAGAGTGGGGCCCAATGGAACTCTTGAAATGGAGATGCCCCAAGGTATTCAAACCTCGCTGCTCTCAAAGGTCATTCCCCTGGTCAATCCCTTCCCTGCTTCCTTGCCCTGCAAGGCTGCAGTCCAGAAGATGGTGTCCGGCACGAACCGCTGCCCCTCGCGGGCTTGTTGCTGTGAGCTCTGAGAACCCTACCGCCTTCAAAGCCTGTTCCTTGCTGTCCACCTGGGGAATTCTTAGGGCGTTCCCTCAAAAGAGGATTTCCGGGATCCCTGCAACATGGGATGCCCCCCCGTGAATCAACCAGGTTGTTTAAATCCTCAGTTCCCATGACACACTACCTCGCAACCATAATGCCCTGCAGGCGTGCACGCTTGATCAGTCCTTTGCACTTCGGTTTGTGTGTGTGTGTGTGTGGAAGCGTGCTTGGGAAAACTGGTGCCACCACAGCCCTGTTGACCTTGAATTAATGAAACCCAATTGCAATTCAGAAGGGGTCCTTCACTCTCAAGGAACATCCCAACAACCTGTAAGTTGTGCGAAACAACTATCCTGGATCGGCCTTTTGAGGGAACACACTTTCTGGCTCTGTGAAATATCTGGGGTCCACAAAAACACTTGTAGAAGCCTCGCTCGCCCACCGGGTCCAGAGCTCCGAGTGCCTCCAACAAACCGCAGGCGCGGCGCCAGGGCGCCGCAAACGCAGCGCTCGTGGCACCGCGCACCTGCCGATGATGAAATGAGCATGGACATGCCCAGCAAATGATCTAAATTGTTGGACTGATTTTTAAAGGTGGTGAAGGGGTACTAAGATGCTTGGAGCTTTCAACAACGTTAGTTGTTAATTGGCATAATTGGCGTAAGGTGGCTTCACAGTGTTCCCCCCTCACGACAAACTCAAAGATGCAGCTAGCTGAAACTGTTTGTCGCAGCCAGAGTTCAGTTGATCCTTGACCCTGGCCAAAACAGTGTGCTGGTTGTCTCGACAGGTCATAACTTCACTGAAGGCCAGCCAAGGTTGCTGGCTGCCCAGTTTTGTGGATTTGCCGAGATCCTCAAACTCATAGATCAAGAGCGAAGAACGTAGTTTCCTTTGGCTGCCATGAGTCAAACCTTCCATCGACCTCAAACCAATGGGGAATGAGAACATTACGAGCAAAAACGAGTGTGCATTACCAGCATGTTAGGTTCCGCGTATATCCGAAACAACTAGACATGGCCGCTACCAGAGTGGCAATGCAAAGAAAGGCATCAGCGTGGGCAGCCAGGAAAATGCACACGTGCGCATAGATACAAAATGTCCCAGTGCTCCAACCACCTCAGCACGCAGCAGAAAGTGGGACATGTGCATCAGAGCAAAGTGTGTTCGGGACAAATCCCATGATACCACAAATGCATCAACCGGCTCGAGTGCGCAGGAGAGAGGCCTCAATTGACCCAACCAGTTGATCCTAGTCTTCTATCGGCATGCGCATTCTAGAATCGTTTGCTCTCTATTCACACCGCTGTACGTAATGAACGCCTCTCCGCCGGCGTTGAAATCTGACTCAGCGAGCCGGCGTTGAAAAGGAGCCCATGGGCGGCCGGCCTCAGCGATGGCCTCGGCCAAGGGCAGCGCTTGCCGCCAGCACCGGGCCTGCGCGCAGTTGCGCAGCAGGCCGCGCCGCGAAGCGGCGTCCGGCCGCAGCTGGCGGTGAGGGTGGGCTTAGGGGGCTCGAGTCTTTTGGGCGTGGTTTTAGGTGGGCGTTGGGTTGGCTTTGGGCTTGTTTAGGGGTCGGTTTGTGCGAACCGCAGAAAGTAGCAAAGGTCCTCCTTTTTTTACTCATCGACCACACCGATCGCCGCGGAGGGTCGCGCGCGCAGCTGGGTGTCATTTTCGTAGAGTGGGTTCGGTCCCACCGCGCTCATGTAATCTGTCGTGCAAGTTTTCTCGTGCAAGTGTGCTCTGGTGAATGGGAAAACGGGATGCATGCCATAAAGGGTTGGGGTGGGGCCAATCTGGTTGGAACAACTTGGGGGAGATTCAATTTGGTTTAAACAAACTCGGCTACAGAACTTGGTTGACGGACATGTTGAGAAGACATCTGAAGCCACTTTGAAATCTGATGCCAAGGGGCCCTCGCTTAAACAACCCGGCCATGGACCTCATTGAACCATAATATGCTCAAACAACAGGCCGAAAGGTGTCAAAAGGTGTTGGCCGAACGGAGGGGATGAGACCGTTGCCTTCTTGGCCGTCATGCCCCGCAGCAAATGCAGCGGCAGCTGCCAATGGCTCTCCTGCGGAGCCGGAAAGGGGTTCTCGAAAGGCGGCTGGAAAATCGGTTGGGAGGTTGCTTTGGCTTTGCTTGAAAGGAACTCGGGTTTTGGGTTCCAACATTTGCTTCAGCACCCAGACAGAGCAGCCCACTCGCATACCAGATTTTGCAGGCCGAACCCCAAAACTGCATAACACCTACATACCCCCCGTGGATACTAAGGGTCGATTGTGCAACCCTCTAGCCAAGTGTCTATGGCCTCCCTTAACACACACAAAAAGAGAGAACACATCCTCGGCGCAAGCGTCCACCACGCTGTTGTAATGCCACAGGTTCGCCTGGCCATGGCGCGAACCCGGAGTTTGCAAGAGCTCAAGCCAGGGCTTGCAGCAAAATGGGTCCTCAACAGGGTGGGGTACAGCCGACAGGAAGCCAACCATGCTGCGGGCCATGGTTGGACATCACATTTGAATGAGTTTGTGAATTCAGGCCTTCGAGGCGAAGCCAACACCAACCGCTTTTTCCCCCGCCTCCACCAAAAAGGAAATGGGAACCAGAAAGGAATTCGGGGGCCTCCTCCCCAATTCCAGCTTTCCTAATTGCAGGCACAAGCGTTGCGGATCAAAGCAATTGCGAGCACAGACTTGCAAAACCAACTGAGTGTTCGGAACCGAAACACAAAACCAAAGCAAACAGAAGCAACGGGTTTTACTGTTGCTTAGCCCCGAAGAACGCTTCGAGGCTCCAACTTCAAACCGCGGTTTGCCTCGATGGCGGCCTGGCCCAGGGCTGCCAGCAGCCGCTGAGCGCTTTTGGCAGAGAGACGCGCCAGGAAGTAGGTGGCCCTTTGGGGCGCGGCGCGCCAGTCCTACGGGAAGATCCGTGCAAAAAAACTTGACAAGCCGCTGGTTCGTTTTGATTAACCCCCCCCCCCCAAAAAAAAAAAAGGCGAAGTTGCTTGAACAAGCACTGGTTAGCTTGTTCAAAGGGACACCAAAAGGAGCCGATTTGAAAAAAACATCGCATGTTTGCACGGCGCGGTTGGGCCACCCCTAGTCCTGGGGCACCTCCGGGAGACTCTCCCGTTCGAAGAGCCGCAGGCGCCGGTCCTTCGGAACGGACACAGATCTGATCAGAGACTGGCGGCCTGGCGCTTGGGTGGCCTTGGCACTCTGCTCCCATAATTCACGATCTGAGTCAGGGCTTCCAAGGAGTGGGCGTGCTTAACCTCCCCCCCCGCCCCCGCCACGCCCTCAAATGGAGCTCCGCTCCCCCCAAAAAGAACTCGAGCTGATGGCTCTCGTGATGAGCGCTGAGCCTCTTGCTATCGCCGAAAACGGTGGCCAAAACCTTTGCCCCCCCCTCACTTCACCATTGACCAAAGTCTGTCCCGAAGGTTAAAGGGGAGAGCACCCCCGGTTTCCGACTTTGACAAGCCCCCAGACCGTCGAAATCTTTGCTACTGGCGGGTAGCCGGCCAGTCCTTCAGCCGCGCCAGGCGTGCGCCGCCGGAGGAGAGCGGCATCCATGAAGGTCAAAGGAAGGCGGGGCCCGCAAAACCCACAGACACGTCTCACTTGCACCAATGACAAGAATGATATGACTGCAAGTGCCATAAGGACCCAAATAGTTCGAATCCCTAATTCCGCCTTTTGGAGATTTGTTTCTGCCACTTGCCCAAAAGACAGGGAATAAAAGAGATGTTGGAACCTTGATCAAAAAATAGTTGCCCGATGAGGAATACCAAAGGGCAAAGGTCGAGCTGCTTTGGGTGAGACAGGAGCTTGAGGGTTTACAGCCGAACCAAAAAGAACCTATCAGGTAGACTGTGCCAAAATGATAGGACCTACCTTTGGGCTCGAACAGTCAGTACTTGTCCTGTTGGGGCATTGCACCGAAAAGTAAAACTCATGGCTTAGGCCGTGAATCTGCCTGAGACGGGAAAAGCTTGGCTGAATGGTTTGAAGCATGGTTCCCCAGCATTGCCGGATAGATTTGATTTGACTTCCCATGGTACTTGACTCAAGGAGGTGGCTTTCCAGCTTTGCAAAAAGCAAGGCAAGAGCAACATCAGGTTTGTGGGCACATGCATGCAGTCAAGTGCACGTCGAACGCCTCGATCAGGCCCACTGCTGCTTGCGTTCCCACTACCCCCAAAAAATGCAAAACACGGATTCGAAGCAAAGGGACGGGCTGCTGCGTATTAGAATCTCACCGCAAACATCTGCACAAATCACTCTACTTCACAAGCTGCTGTAACCCAGGTAAGGCTGAACTTGCGGGCATTGCCCGCTTCTGGGACATCAATTCCCTGCTACCCATAGTGCAAATGGGTCCCACCGGCGCATGAAGCCTTTTGGCTTTTCAAAAGGGGTCTAGGGCAAACTCTGCCGCCGTAGTCTTGGGCCTTTGGTACGGATGCAAGGAATTATCACAAACCCGAAACCATTTCGAGATGCAGGTGTATGTGCGTTGCGTGCCTATTCCGTCAAAACCAGACTGCCCCCTTTGGGGCGAGGACGAGGTCGCTTTTGGACTTGGCGGAAATTCGGGGATTGCCTTTCGCAGCAGCCATGAGAAACATCTCCGGTTCCCCGCGCTGCCGCGCTGGGGCTCCGGCGCTAGCCGCTGCTTCGCAGTCTTCCCGTGAGTCTTCCTGAGGCCGCGCGAGCGCGCCCCGACCGGCGAGCATGCAACTTGGTACGGATCCAGGGGTGAGGGCAAACCGCGCAACCGAACAAACTTGGCCGTTTTGTTGAACTCTGGGCATGTAGGCCGGGCAGGCAACCTGATCGCGACGCATGGCTTTGCAACCAGCTTTGGCCGGGGCTCGACTTATCTATCGCCAGAGCCTCGTATGAGACTACCGGAAAAAAATAAAAAAGAAGAAAAAAAACGACTTGGCACGAAGGCCTAAGGCCTTAGGGCGAGACGACAGGATTTGGGAGGTTCCTCGCCGGTCGGGCTCGATTCTGGCACAGCGGCTTCCCCGCCAGGAACTCCACGCCCAGGCGCCGCAACGCGCGGAACTCGGCCGTGGAGGGGTCCAGCTCGCCCACCTCCATGCTTTGAGGGTGAAGACATCTAGACTGGATATTTATCCTTAAAGCCCCTTGCTGTCTCTGGTTTTTTAGGAGGCCCTGGCAATATAAAAGGGCTCATGTTCGACGAGTTTGCCGATGAGGAGCCATTTTGACGTCTGACTCCTGGCCATCGCACTGGCATGCAGGAGCAGAGCTTGTTCAAGAATGCGGAAGGATAAAGTCTCAAAAGGGGACAAACAGCTTTGTCAGATACCTGCTTCTGGCACATGGGTAATCTGAAGCTGCGTAAACCTAGAAGCCGGGAAGATGAGAGCGAAGTCTGGGGGAAGCATTTCAGCTGAGCACCTGCTGTGGCAGCCTTGGATGCTTCATCTGTTCGTACCGAGACGAACGAACAAAGAATCCCCCAAAACCGAACGTGCCCCAGGTGAGGGCTCAAAAGGTCCGAAAAGCCGCCAATTTTAGCCCACGGGTGCGAGGGGCCAGGATGATCTCAGCGTTGTCGCTGGTGATGAAAGGCACCGCCTTCAGCAAGTATCTCAACGCGTTGAGGTAGAGCCCTCGGACGGGGGATCAACGTTGATCCCGTCAACTTTTCCCCAAATAACTTGACCAACAAGCAGGCGGGATGGCGCAGAAGGGTGAAGTTGGACGGGGAAACGAAAACGAGATTCGACCTTGCACCATCCCCGCAGGATTCCATCAAAGGAACCTTCACTTGAGCACGTTAACCCCAAAACTTCAAACTCCTCAGTGTTGGCAGGGAACTGCGCCTAAGCGCCTTCTTCCCCGGCTGCTTGGCTCCTTTGCCAAGGCACCCAAGGGGCAAGTGCCGGCGCGGTCGCCCCGCCTGCGGAGCAAGCGCTGGGCACAGCTGGGCGCGCTCCAAGAGAGCGAAACACAAAAACTGCCAAGCCCACGGAAAACAAATGTGCTTTTTGGCCCCCACGAAAGGGCCAAAAAGCACATCAGGCCAGATCAAATGTTCAGTCCCACGGGGTCAAAAAAAAAATTTTCACTCACTTGCCAAATCAAGCAAGGAGCTCAACCTCCTGGGGTCACACGCTCCCCATGTTGTTTTACTTATCCACCTCACCCACATAAAGTGAATAGCGCCATCCACTTTCACCCAATTCCCTTTGTGTGAGTAAAGGGGATGACCTTTTGCCGAATTGACGGAATCCCCGGCTTTTGGCTCGAGCTGTGTGGTATGTTTGTTTTTTGTGTTTTTTTTCATCGGGGGTACCTTTATGTGGCTGCTTTGAGGGGAGACCAAAGGGACGCCACCGGCGCGGCGTTGCGGCACCGTGGCCTCAGCTGCATGGCGATGCGCCAGGACGCCTTGGACGCGGACCACTCCAGCGGGCGCCGGGCGGCCAGCCGGGCCGCCGCGTACTGCTCGCGCAGCCAGGGGGAGGTGGCCTCCGCGATGGGGATCCGGCGGGGGTGGTCTCATTGGGCCTCTAGATGGCCTTAAGAAGTGGAACCGGCATCCTCTCAAGAGTTTCCCCTCAAATGGGTGGCTTCAAGGGAAACAAGCCAACATTCCCCACTGATCAAACTTGCGGCTTCCCCACTCAGAACAATCCCTCGAGGGGAGGGACTGCCCCACAAATGGACTCTCCCATCGCAGGACCCAATGTGGACCCCCCAAGTCCACGAATGAGGCCCCCAAATCCAGAAAGGGTAAGCGGCGGCCTCCTAAGATGATCTGCATGGCCCAACACGAATACCAAATGAATTGATCTCTCGAAAGACCGTGTTTCATCGTCCTACTTGCTCACATCCTCGGGTACACCCACTCGCCTGCCCGTGCATATGGCCTACCAGGACCAAAAACAGCGACCTGGCCCTCTCAGTTCCTTCTGCCAGATTGCCCAGGGTAAGCCCCAGCTTCTTGAACAATCCGGCAATGGCTCAAATCTTCAAGCCTCGTAGCTCACCATCCTGCTGGTGGTTGGGCACCTGGCCCCGAGTTGACGATTTGGAACTTGGCTTTCTGCGGGGCTCCTGGGAACCCCCTAACATCATGCAAACGAGAAACTGGTTGCAACTGTTGCCTCTCCGAAAGGTGATCTTTGTACCACCCAACAAGGGAAGTGTAAGGAAACCTGGGAAAAGACTCACTGATCCTGACAGATTGGCAAAAAGAGCAACGGCCAACATGTAACGGTGAAGCCACATGTAACCTAGACATATTGTGGTTGACGGTGTGTAAAACATGCGACATGTGCGTATTGATGCTCCCGTGGGATGTAATTGGATACTGGCAGCTTGTCCACAGAGTCAAAAAGGTCAAGGAAGGCAGCTTACAATGTTCGATCCGAAGGCCCTGGAAGATTGATGGCCTGCCAGAAGGGTCCCCAGCGGTGACAGGACCCTCTAAGAGGTGCACATCGCCCGCTCACACAAATCGCAAAAAGCCTAAATGCCTCCCTGAAAAGGCAGCCTGGTGTCGGGGCACCCCAAGCCATGACAAACCATTCAATCCCCATGACTGCTTACTTCATCACTAAAAACAGGATTCTTTTGGTACAGAAAGTGGCTCTGAAAGCAACACTTTGCGCGACCACGGCCAAACCCGCCTAAAGGTGTAGACAGCCCTCTTCAGCGGCTTGGGCTTCATGTCCACCCCTGGCCGCTTCTGCAAGGTTGGCACGAAGAAACTTCTGGCACTCAACATGAAACAACTCACAACTCAGGCAATATTCAACTGGTACGATATTTCACCCCCCCCCTCCAGCCAGCTCCCAGCTCCCAGCCAGGTCCCATGTCAGGGCAAGGCGCCAGCAACCCCCCCCCCCACTCAGCCCAGCTCCCTCCTGCGCCGGTGAGGAGTGGCTCCACTACGCCCTTCGTGGTCTTTGTGCCTTGGACGCGGATCCCAGCCGCATGCGAGATCTGGGAGCGACATCTGGGCGTCTCTGCAGCAAAACATGTGGCTTTTCTTGCAGTTTCCCGGAAAAGCGCGGGGAAAACACTGCAAAAAAGTACTGGCAACTTCCTGGCAAATTGCGCCAGGGTTCCCTCCATTTGTGAAGCAACTCCCGAGGTGGACAAAACCCATGGTGTATCTCCACAAAAGGCCGCCTCATGGGCTTAAGCGTTAGTTGCTTTGTTGCTGTCAAGAGCGAAACCTCTAAGTTGGCACGGCTCTGCTCCGACCTATCAGAATGCCAGCAACCACTCAGCCATAACTACGAGCTTTCCTGCCAATCTTGGCCGCACAGGCAACCTCATCCCCTTTGCCCGCCGCAATGCGCCAGGCTGCGTGTCTTGAACTTTGCATCGATGTGAAACCTGAGGGCCAAAACACTCTTGTCGAACCGAGGCATCTTTCGGCACCTTTTGGCACCGAGAGATTCGTGCTGGCCAAAACGCAGCATACCACCAAACATCGAAACCAGCAACGCCTGATCCGCCCGGCACAGCTGGACTGCCATATCACGGCAGGCCCAGAGCCCTGACAAAAACTTTGCGCTTCAACTTGGCCCGGACTTGATTAATGTTCAACCCCGTGCCAGGACTTAGATGGTTTCCACAAATACCATCACCTTTTAGGAGACAGCCGAAATACAAGATGTGGCCAGACCAAAAAACGGACCGCCAATGAACAGGAAGACAGCAACGACCACCAATGCAAGTCAGGCGCTTCGCGACATGCTTGACGGAATTGCACTTTAATCAATAGAACACCAGCGGTGGTGAGGGCAAAACGGCAAGGCGCTACCAAACGTCGAGCCTGTCATCTTCAAACAGAATGGGGGCTAAAAGACCATTACGCCCGTCAAAGCGGGGTCCTAAGATGAAAGATGCCCCGCGACACCAAAGGACACAACAGCCGGTCCAAATACATCTGAAATGGATGCAACCGTTGCTTCCATTTCAGTAAGATGTTGGCTATACTGGCAAACCGACGAGGTACGTGAACAACCATGAAGCGATGCCGCTCACACACAAAACTAGTTCCGAGACAAGTAAGTCGTGGCCAGGCTACCCCTGCATCCCGGTTCCCTATGATGGAGAGGGGGTAAAGGCTCTCAATTCAATCTGCTCAGCCTTTCCAAAGGCAAAACCTATGAGCTACTCTCCCACAAAAAGGAGAACCACCCCTAGTCAGCATGGTGCTCCAGAATAACTCGACGTTGACATTAACCATCAGTGGCTAGCTAAGTCGCACCCCCATCAAGGTTCCTTTGCTTGTGGTTGTGGATGTGGCTGTGGATGTGGCTGTGGCTGTGGCTGTGGCTGTGGTGGTGGTGGCGACATTGAAACGGCTGGAACATGTGGCTTCCAACATAGCAAACATGTCCACTTTTAGAGACCCAGATCCACCCAATCTTTGAACCAGGTCGCACTGAGCTCACCCGCGGCAGCTTTGCCACATGCACCAGCGATGCCACGTGCGGGCCCACCGCCCCATCTCTGCCGCAGCCGAACCTCAGAGAGTGCGGCGCGATGGGGTAAGAGGCCCGCTGAATTGCCTCCGTCAAAAGGTGGCACAGCAAATTCTCAGTCCCTAGCGGACCTCCGGAGTCCCCAGGTCACGCAGGCAGCACCCAACAAACTTGCCCGGCCAAGAAGCAGGTCATCCACCGCACCAGTGTCGTGGCTGGCGGTCTTCCAGTTGGCCTTGGCCTCACAGACGTAAGCGCAGCCGTACTTCACCGCCACTGCCTGACTCACTGTGCCAGTCACTGTGCCTTGTTGGAGGCCACTCTTTTGGGTGCCTTTTGGGTGGGAAACCAAAGGGAAACCACATTTTTTCGGGAGACAAGCCGAGCCAAAGATGACGCCTCTCAGCGTCTGAGATGCCCCGGCAAACCCCTGTTCTGAAGGGAAACCAGCAGGAATGTACAGGAACACCGAGGCTGTGGCAACTTCGTGAGCTCTATGGGGACAGTGTTGGGTTTGCACAACACTCATCTAAAAGCTCGAGAACTCGCCCTTAAAATAGGTTCCCCTGATATGTGCCACCTGTATCTTGATACAACTTGACATCCGATCATATGAGACCGCCTTGAATCTCAAGAACGATTCGTGCGAGCGATGCCTTCAAGCTGTGCGGGTTCCGATGGAAAAATCGCCGGCACTCCCAGCAAAGGGAACATGTATGCGGGAAGGGCAGCTTCATAGGGAGTACCGCCTCGAAGGACTGCTTACGGGCATGACCGACTGCAGGTTGCGACTTGGGTTTGGAATCGCGGGTGTGGTTTGGCACTGCTTTTGGTGAGACCCCCTCCAGGCCCAATTGCGTGCCCTAAAGCCCACATCTTGGTGTTTTTTTTTTCCAACTCAACCCTCTTAAGAACTTGGGCTTTTCGAACTGGAGGGTCGGCCCATCCTAATCCCTACACAGGGGCGCCCTCCCGCAACGAAGCCCGAATGCCAAGGTTCCAAGATATGCTGGTTGTAGCGCAGCGTGCCGGCCAAGCCCTCCCAGTCCTTGGGGAAACTCGATCAGAGCGTGAATCCTTTTTCAGTTTTGGGAATAAAGCTGAGGTAAGACTCCAACCAAATGGCGACGCTGAGAATTCCCGGTGGGTTCGTCGAGTGGCAACTCACACTCAGCCACTCAGCTTGAGTGGCTGAGTAGCTGAGTAGCTGCATAAAATTGATCCGCCAACACGCGTTTCAAGCAAACCATGCACACATTTGGCTCCTATGATGATGACTTGATTTGGTTTGACCCGATTCCAAATAAGTAGGCCCTTGTGCTGAGAGCAAGTGGTTCAGTTCGGGGTCATTCCCTCAATACTAAAATCAGCTGCCTTGACGAAAGGAGACCCTCAACATGGTGGTATGAAGCCTTCTTCTGAGAAGCGCGCAATGGTTGTAAGCCCCCCCTCCCCGTGAACACAAACGCCTTCCAAGCTGCGCGGCAGAAAGACATCCTCACCTTGGCAGCGGGTCGCACGCCCAGGACGTTCTTCGTCCATCAACCCACCCAAGACCAAATGGGGCACGTACTCTTAACATAGTGTTGATATAGTGGTTATGGATCCACCCCTGCTCAAGGTGATGTGTGCGCGCACTGTCCCTTGCAGAAAAAACCCTATGGCCCCCTAAAGGAACGAAGTTGGTCTCTGACAGCTGGGACTCGGCGATTCTCATGTGTGCATCGTCCAAGACACAAGCAAACATGACAGGAGCGCTTGGGCGTGGAACGCAAACAAGACTTGCTGAGCATGAAATGGATTGCTGCGGGGCATTCGCAACGCATGGGTCTTGCAGGTCCCAGCATTCCTTCGATGCCATCCAGGTCGCATAGCAAGGCGCCAGGCCTTTGGCCTCGGCAAGGAACATTCCCACTCCGCGCCAGCTGCGCTCTAGAACAAATCGCTCGTTGATTTCCGCTCCAAAACCGGTTCGTTGACATCAATGAGTGTCAAGAGTGGAACGCATGACTCCAAGAGACCCCCGTTTTCGGGCACCTTGTGATCCTTGCAGCCAGCGCGCCGTTTGGGAGGTCGTCGTTGGCGCCTCCGTTGTC